GATTGGATTTATACCCCGCCCTTCACTTGGAGTCTCAGAGCTGCTTACAAACTCCTTTCCCTTCCCCTCCCCACAACAGACACCCTGTGAGGTGGGTGGGGCTGAGAGAACTCTGACACAAACTGCTCTTTTTCAAGGACAGCTGTGCCAGAGCTTGTGACTGACCCAAGGTCACATCAGCAGGTGCAAGTGGAGGAGTGGGGAATCAAACCCGGTTCTCCCAGATTAGAGTCCGCACACTTAACCACTACACCAAACTACCTAAGTGTTTGTAACTGACTGTAGATTCCAGATAAAAAATTAGCAGTGTTTATGTAGAGCTTCCAATTCTGCCGTCTTCTCCATTCATGCCAATGGAAGGGGGTGCCTTGGGCATGCAAACGATGCCCATGAGAAGCAACCTCCTCCACTGAAGTGAATGGGAAAGTCCACTCACCTTGCAGCTGTGAAATGCATATGGAGTTCTAGATCAGTAATCACCAGCGTGGAACCCACCAAGAAGTTTCCTGAGGCCCGTTTGCTGCTCCCCTGAAATAAACAGCTGCTCCTGGCGTTCCTTCACCTACATGGACCAGTAAACCACACAGAAGAACCTGGGAGACATCACCTTTATACCTGCAGAGAGCATCCTGTATCATTGGAGGATGGATGCCTTGCAACTTCTTGACATTTTCGAGATCTGCCGAACCCACAGCAGCCATTTTGCAATGGTGCCCACACTCCCTGTTTTCAAAGTTCCCAAAGTGACCACAGTCTGAACAAGATTGGAATCCCCTTCTCTAGACGATGGTGATACTGCTGTTTTATCTGGGGAGCGGGATCTCCTGGTCCCATACAATCTAAATTCCCCAGGAGTTAGATGTAAACTCACCAGTACGGCTCCCAAGTCCCCACTGGGGGCAAGGGATCCCCCACCTCTGGAGCTCATTCCCTGTTGCCACTCCAAGCAGTGGTGGGGGGAAAAATAGGGGGGGGGGAGAGACTCTTTGGCTAACAGCATGATGTCACTTCTCCAGAAAACTCAAAAGTGATGTCCGTCATCTCTAGGAATTGCAGGTAGCTCTATGGTTTTACCATAGCTACCTATGGTTTTGCTATAGAGTTTCTGGCTATTCCTAGAGAGGCATGATGTCACTTCTAGGTCTTACCTAGGAGGGATGTCACTCAGTCAGTGCTGGCCACCCCTCCGTGTACCCGCCTTCCCAGTTTCCCGCTGGTGCTCGGCCTTGCCCTCTCTGCAGCGAGGTTCGTACGGTTCTTGGTCCTTACGCGCACTCTGGATTATGTGCAAATCCATGACAGCTTCATTAATATTAAACAGAAAGAAGATGGTTAATGAATTAAATATGAATTTCAGTAATACACTATGTTCAGCAGCCCCTGTGTATTGTTTGTTTCATATTAAATTCCCTAGCTGAGGAAGGATGAGAAGCAGTTTCGTGGATGGCATGTTTACAGTCACACTAGCAGAGAGCTGTGACTTACCCCTACACACACATACACATACACATACACACACACTGGCTAGTATATTGCTAATAACGTTGTCAAGCTTATTGTCATCCACGGCTTCCCACTGGAGGCCTATTCACATGGAATATTTGTGGGAGACTTCTCCGTGATCCTCTCCAGTGACTTCTAAAAGTGCAGCGTATTAGTTTTGTCATATGTCTAGAGCAGTAAGCCAGCTATGGTGGGAATATTATGCCTTATCCCTGTGAGGAGTCTGCTTGCCCTCAAAAATACTGAATTGCCCCAAAATAGTAATCTGTGCACCTTTGCCCTGACATGGATGGCCCAGGTGAGGACAGTCTCATCAGATTCGGAAAGCTAGGCAGGGTCGGCCCTGGTTCGTACTTGGATGGGAGACCACCAAGGAAGCCCAGGGTTGCTACACAGAGGCAGGCAATGGCAAACCCCCTCCCTTCGCCTTGAAAACCCTACAGGGTCGCCATAAATTGGTGGTCGCTTGACAGCACTTTCCATTTCCAAAAATCTGTGCTAGCTACACATATCTACAAAAGCTAAGACTAGATCCTCCAGGTTGGATCCTATATCTCCTTTCCCTAGTGGCAGAGCTTCCCTCTGTCCTAAGAGGCTCTTGCTGTGGTAAAACTGAACGTTCTAGTCAAGGTTGCTCAAGACCCCCACCCCCCCAAGACTGCATGGCATGACTGGCTCCATGGGCCGCTAGGATCACCAAGGTCCTTGGAATTTGGTTCCCCCTGGTCCCCTCATGTTGACAGCCTTTCTTCTGATGGCAAGATCCTCCATTAGTGGGATGGAATTGTAGGACCTGATCCCCTATCTATTCCTGTGAAGGCCTACAGGAGAGAGAACAGGGTTGAGTTCCTTTACAGACTGGACTGTACCACCTATGAAATCTCACAATGGAAGAAAGCTTCCAGTCCTGTTCAGTTACTTACCATGAGCCAGCTGTGCCTGGTGCCCTAGGGGCATTGTTTTCAGCAGACCCTCTATGAGCAAGGCCTTGTATTAAATGTTCTTGGAGGCTCTTCCATGGAGGGTAAACCCTTGTGTGGGACAGGATGAGTATACAGATCCACTGAAATGAGTGAGGATGTTTGCACATGTTGGGGAAGGGCCATGGCCCTGCTGGATTGACCAGAGGTCCATTTAGTCCACCATCTCGCCTCACTTGATGGAGATCCAGTTGCCCTGGAGGGCTAACTAACAGGGCATAGAGGGCAAGGCTTTCTGGCTGATATTAAGAACATAAGAAGAGCCCTGCTGAATCAGATCAGCAGTCCATCTAGTGCATAGGGTTGCCAAGTCCTTTCTCAGCCGCAGTGGGAGACTCCCGGGCGGCGACTGGCGCGCATGCGCGCACCGCACGCATGTCACCCAGAAGTGACGTTACCATAGAGTTTTCCCTCCGATGTTCGTGGCCCCGCCCCCAGCATGCCCGGCATCCTAACGTCACTTCCTGGTGACGCGCACGTCGGGGTAAGGTTCCCCCCGGTGGCGGGGAATGGGCCTCTGGGGCGGGCGTTTCCCCGCCCCCCAGGGGGACTTGGCAAGCCTACTAGTGCAGCATCCTGTCTCACATAGTGGCTTCACCCAGTTCCTTTGGAGGGGCAAAACCAGGGCCTGGAGGCTGAGGCCTTCCCCTGATGTTGCCTCCTGGCTCTGGGATTCAGAGGATTAGTGATATTGTACCCTAGCATTGGTACTCTGAGCATTACTGAATCCATGCCCAATGAGAAATGTGATGTATAAAGAAGTTCCAAATTCACCTGCCGAGAAGAACTTAAGCTTTAGTGTGGAAAACTCTATCAAATCAAATGGCAAAAATGCTTATTGGCATCACATGTCCCAAATTGCTTTCCGGTTCCTTCAACCCCCAATGGACTTCCTGTATATCTGAACAGACCACAAGGCATTACGTATATCCCAAGATTATTGTTTCTGTCCATATTATATAAGGCTTTAAAAATGGAACAGATTTGGAGGCAGAACTTTAAGACAAAAAAAAAGATGCTGGGATTTTGGAATACCACAAGACTTGGAAATAGATCATTCGGATTTCAGAGTAGTACCCAACTGTAGCCCGGACCCAATAGCCCAGACTAGCACCATCTTGCCAGATCTTGGAAACTAAGCAGGGTCAGCCTTGGTTAGTACTTGGATGGGAGACTGTCAAGGAAGTCCAGGGTGGCTATGAAGAAGCAGGCAACATAGAGTTGCCAGTCCTGGGTTGGAAAATACCTGGAGACTTTGGGGGTGGATCCAAGAGAGGGCAGGGTTTGGGGAGAGACCTCAGCAGGGTACAATGCCATACAGTCCATCCTTCGAAGCCACCGTTTTCTCCAGGGGAGCTGATTTCTGTCACCTGGAGATCAGTTGTAAAAGCAGGAGATCTCCAGGCCCCACCTGGAGGCTGGCAACCCTAAGGCAATGGCAAATCACCTCTGAATGGCTCTTGCCTTGGGAAAAAACCCTACCAGTTTGCAACGAGTCAGCTGTAACTTGATAGCACTTTACACACATACACATGAAGCTCTAGAAACAGAAAAGAATTTCAGCCACATATTCTGTGACTGACAGTATGATAATGCAGGAAGATCCCTTGACTCCATACTCTGAACTGTCTTTCATCATGCGCAACACAACAGTCTTTCATCATGCGCAACACAACACAGTTATGCAACACAACACAGTCGCTACCTCTGGCAGTAGTCTAGAGCAGGGGTCATTTCGTAGAAAAAGAGGTGCAGGAGCTCATTAGCATAACTTATTTGCGTATGCCACACCCCCTGACATCACCGGAAGTGTGTCAGAAGGCAACACACACCGCTCAGGCTCCACTGGACTGTTTTAGATTGCTAGTTATTGGGGGGGGGGGGGGGGAGAATCTGTCCTCGCGGGGGG